GGGGGGGGGGGGGGTCAAAAGTGGGGAGGCTGGGAAAATATTTTCGAAAAAACGGACCTAGGTACTGGAAACCCCTCAGAATGCATACTGAGAGTTTTGTACGTAAATGCACCGTCGAAAAAACCGCACTTTTTTTACCCCTAGGCTCTCCTGAGGGGGGTCCCCCTACACACGGTACCCCTGCCCGTGGCAGTATTGAACATGCCGTTTCTGTGTCCTGGGTTCTCAAATCAGAATGTTTCTTTACTCCTTTTAATAGCACTAGTTTAGTACCGAAATGTACCGCTCAAAAAAAGTTTTCCACCCTCACGATAAGGGGGCTACAGAGAGGGGGGGGTCCAAAGTGAGGGGGCTGGGGAAATATTTTCGAAAAAACGGACCTAGGTACTCGAAAACCCTCACAATGTATACTAAGAGTTTTGCACCGAAATGTACCGTCGGTCCTATCACACTATAATGGTATTATACTATTTTGATACTACTAGCCGACCGTCCTGAAACTTCTGGCCAACCCTGTATACAAATCGGGAGCATTATTATGGAAGCCTAGAATAAAATTTCCCCTTGAAAAAAATGAAAGTCTGTTTTGGTAAGGAGATTTATTTCAAACTTCATGTAATAAATGGGTGAAATTCGGGAAGAAAATCCAATTAATGCGCTGCCGGAACTCGAATCTTTCGCCGTCGCTGATAGCCGCTACTAACGATCTGGGATTTTTGCGCGGGATCATTAAAACGGGGCCGGATCAAGGCGCTCGGGGGCCGGTATTTTGGCCCTGGCGAAGGAACGGATCGACGGACTTCAAAAATCTCTTCGGATATTGAAAGAACAATTGAAGCCTTAAATATTAGACGCAAAGCACAATTGTTTCTCATAATTGTAAAGAAAGTTGTTTTTATGCCGCTTTAGCTCAAAACTCGGTTTTTAGGCTGTGGTAAGAGAACGGTTCAACGGACTTGAAAAATCGCTTCGGATATTGAATGAACTATTAAACCATAAGACATTAGCCGCAAAGCACTCTTGTTTTCATCAAAAGTTCTGTAGAAAAGCAAAGAAAACTGTTTTTGGGCGTGAAGTTGGCTTACCGTAACTGGTTTTTTGACTGTAACAGGTGAACGGTAGCACGGATTTAAAAAACTTCCCCGGCCATTAAAATGCCTCAAACCCGACGAAAAAATATCGGTCACTACTTATAGTATCTGAAAAATTTTCAAACCCTCATCTTCCCCCAACGGATATGAATCAAATTATTTGGATTGTGCTATCATTCTTTGAATGTTGACTCGGACTCACAAATCAAGTTTGTGGAATGAAAATATGGACCAAGAAAAAGGAAAGGATCTCATAAATATGCGCTTAAAATCTCATCAATTTTTGTCAAGACCATGTATACACCCAGCGTTCTTTCAAACAGTATATGCGTGATACCAAAATTTAAACCTCTAGGGTCCCATTTTGCCTAGACTCTAATTGAAGGCTAACTCGGAATCCTTGAACAAGAATTTGAATGGATCCTTGCAGCAATGGTCAAAAATTTTCCATTATCTTTCAGGCTTCAGACTTTTGAAAGAAAGATTACACGAGTAAAAACTGTTTGATAAGACACTTTTGAGAAGAATTTAGGTCTTAATGCTGTGATAGTTATAAGAGGAAGGGGCAGACAACATTTACAATGTTACAGCTCTGTCATGGGGACAAGAGGTTGTCGGATATTGGTTACTGTTTTCCTTACAGTGAAATCCATTATGAATGGCCGATTTTTCGAGATGAGTCGGTCTGTGCCGACTACTTGCTTCCATTATACTTACCTTTTTTAACGAGAATGATCTTTCATTTAATAATTTTCAATTTTTATTTTAATAATGATTTAACATTAGTTGATCTGTGTGAACTATTTGCTTCCATTATACTAAACTGAAAATCGAGGAATCCCAGTGTTGCCGATTTCCAAGGTCCAAGAAACGAGAAATGCTTTGAGACCATTTAGGCAATTTAAACGTACGTATTAATTATTCTCCCAATACCGACATTTCCGTATCTTTCATAATACCCCCCCCCCCTTTTAGTAATTTTCATAATTTGACACGCTAAATTAAATTTGTTCTTCTTTCACTTTTCTCACATGCTTCTTGCGTTGAATACATGACATTAAGAGATTTTAAGCTTGAAAAAAAATCAAGAGAGTCTGAAATTGATATTTTCCTTTAGTACTAACGTAAAAGTGGGAACACCAGAGGATGCAAAAATGTTCTTGTTCTTAGGGCCCTTTCCCAGATTACCTGCACTTTTCATGATTTTTCCTGCTTTTAGATCCGTTCAGTCCGAAGAAGGGCCGAGAGATGCTTGCAAAATTCAGGGAAAACACTTTTAACACGGCGAGAGAACTCGTGAAAATCGTGGAACTTCGGACAAGTAGGAAACATTGATTTCTTGGCCAAAATGTGCAAAATTTATATTTTGGATGATTCATTATTGAATTTGCAAGTTGAAGGGGACAAAAATCCGGGAGAAAAATTCTTAACCGAAAAAATAATACACTTCATCAGAATCGATAATGTTAAATCATTATTAAAATAAAAATTGAAAATTATTAAATGAAAGATCATTCTCGTTAAAAAAGGTAAGTATAATGGAAGCAAGTAGTCGACACAGACCGACTCATCTGGAAAAATCGGCCATTCATAATGGATTTCATTGTAAGGAAAACAGTAACCAATATCCGACAACCTCTTGTCCCCATGACAGAGCTGTAACATTGTAAATGTTGTCTGCCCCTTCCACTTACAACTATCACAGCATTAAGATCTAAATTCTTCTCAAAAGTGTCTTATCAAACAGTTTTTACTCTTGTAATCTTTCTTTCAAAAGTCTGAAGCCTGAAAGATAATGGAACATTTTTGACCATTGTTGCAAGGATCTATTCAAATTCTTGAGAGAGGTTTTAATTTTGGTATCACATGTATACGGTTTGAAAGTATGCTGGGTGTTTATGTGCTCTCGACAAAAATTGATGAGATTTTTTTTTTTTTTGCTTTGAAAGCGGGGAGAAAACCGAGTTCCGGCAACTACTGCTCGCATGTGCCAGGAACGGGCGGCCAGTCCCACCCCCCGACAGCTGCAATCAGCTGACAGGGGGCTCGGGAGAGTCACCCGCACACAGCACACACGAGATTGAGGCATGCTTGATGGTTAGCAGCGCGCGAGTGGGTTGGGACCCCGACTAAAAACCTTCACCCTCCCCCCCCCCCCCNCCCCCCCCCCCCCCCGGTCACATGAATTGGTGGTTCTCCCGGCGAGATATCCCGACCAGACGAGTTCTTGAGATTTGAGATTCGAGAGATTTTTGAAGCCTGTCGATCCGTTCCTTCGCCAGAGCCAAAATACCGGCCCCGGTTTGAAGATCTCGCGGGCTACGGGGGGGGGGGGGGGNGGGGGGGGGGGGCGTAGCCTCCGTATCATGAGGATACAAAACTTTTTTTGAATGGTACATTTCGGTACTAAACTAGTACAAAACTTTGTCGATAGAAAACAGTAGAATTTCCCCAGCCTGTAGAATGTTCTCTCAGGGGGGGCTTAATTTCTCCAGCCCCCCCCCCTCCTGCGTTTTAACTTTATGCACTTTACATGATGGGTACAAACCTTTTTCTTTGGGGTACATTTGGGTACAAAACTTTGAATTTTAATTTTCGGATGGTGGGCGGTCTGGAGAAATTGACCCAAGTATCGGGTCTCTGGTAGGTTGCTGTTAGTTAGCCCTTTACTTATATTTCCTTCATTTATTGTAATCACCCGCCTCCACCAATAGGATTGCTACATTTTCTCTTTGCCTCCTTTGTCCATTGCTTTGTCTATCAATGTTAAGAAGCAGCTTGCTGGAGGGTCAAAAACTACTAAGTAACTCAGGCTCCTGATTTAAGCTTACACGATTTTTGTAAGCTAGTCTTGGTTTTAGCAACAGCTCCATCTTTTCTCTCGGTTATAATGACAAATGTCACCTTATCCAACAAATATCACAGGTCCTAAATTTTTGCAGATTTTCTGTTTAACTTTTTCTGTTTTAGGAAGTCCTTACTGCTAGGTAACAACCAATTTCCTCCGAACTTGAATGTAATGTATTATTTCATGACTTTTTATGTAGATAACATCCTCTCCAGTCACAAATCATCCGTTTATTCCGAATGATGATAAGAGTTTCTATGCAAGTAACTTTAGGTCTGCATTAGCTCCCCAAGATCCATTCAACTCCCTCGCAAACATGGCTGGTGATTCTGTTTCCTCATCTGAGGCCTCATTTGCCAATTTTGATAAAAATCCTATTTTCTCTTCGGCTACTCAAGGTGAGCTCTTCTGAACCCTCTACTCTTACCTAATTTATTTAGCTCTCTGAATTTGATACCGATTGTTGTGGAATTGACTTATATGTATTAAGAAGGGATTGCCAACCGGTAAATTGCCCTCATTATAAGAGTGAACTGGACCTGTGAATCTTGTAGATTACCGAAGAATATTAAAACCTGCTCAAAAGCCATAGAGGGTCATAGGTCGTTTAATATCAACACAACCAGCAAGCTGATTATTGAAATCGACAGGCACAGCAATAGACAAAGAAGAAAAAGGGAAAATGGAGTGATTCTATCAGTTGATCTATTACTTAGATATTTGGATGATTCTCACAGACTAAGATGCAAAAAATGGGCTAATTGCAGGATCACCGGTGGGTTGCCACAAGTTGGTCCATTACCGACCTCCTTTGTCCTTTGCTACCACCTGCACCCACCAAGTGAACCGCTCCGTTTTTCCCTTGTCATCTTTGTTTTGTTTATCGCCTTGTCTTTAAATGTCAATATCAGCCTACTAGCCTGGAACCTGGCCTCTTCTAATTTGGTTTATAATTAGTGCACAGGTTCTTTTTATCACTACAAGAGACTGCCCCGAGGGTTTTTCTCTCCAACTCTCCGTTTGCAAGATAGAAATTCTTAAGAATGAGATGAATTTTAGGGATTTTTGAAAAATCTGTCTCAACAATTTTCATTTCCTCCACTCCCCTGCCCTCTCTTCAGCTCTCCATGATGCCAATAAATTTTGATCCTTTACATTTTAAAGGAGTATTTCTGAATCAATTTTTTAAATAAATTCTGAATGTGTCGTCAAAATCGAGCTAAATATTATTTTAATGACTATGATGTGGGATTTTTTAAAAAATCACGATTTTCTGGCCTTTCATTGTTTTAACTGAAAAATCTCTGAGGTATTCCCTTGGTCTCTTGATTTTCTACTGTGGCTCAAGCTCAGAATATAGATTTTTGTATGACGTACTTGGCAGTTAAGGATCTCAATGGATATAAATCGGTCCAAAAAAACAAAAAAGTCAGTAAAAACAGACGAATTTTTACGTGGTATCAATGTATCTCTGAAACAGATTCTTCAACTCCCGGTTCATTTTCTCGTTTTCAACTTTAATTTTAAATCCTAAAGATTCAGAACTCAAATGAAACCAAGGTGAAAGGAGCCATGGTATGCACTACTGCGGTGGATGACATCATGCACTGTGTTTATTGAGTCATGATATATCTGTTGATATTGGGCGCAGAAACATGGCGTCTACATAGATCGCACACTGGCGGGTGGGCGGAAACAATTCAGGAGGTGGACAAATTTTTTCCAACCCAGAAGGCAAAAGTATCTGGACGATTTTGTAGCTTCTGCTACAGACTATCAAGTTGTAGCATCAATTTGATTATTCCTCCCTCAATGATTTTTAAACAGACCCTTGTCGGGCATCGAAGAAAATAGCTACTTTTGGTGCTAAAGTGGTCAGCGCCGACACATCAATAGCAAGATTTTTTCCGGAAACTGACATTATACTCTGTAAGTGCGTAATCTAAGCTACAAAATTATATATTAACATGCTCAAAAAAACCTCTTATTCGTGCCCATATCGACACTTGAACCTAGGTAGAGAAAAAGGCGATTTGTTTTGTTTTAGGCTTCATTTTAAAAAAAAAAAAGCTTCACTGAGCTCTAGCTCTTGGAGCTTCTTGGAGCCTATTTAGGCTCTTAGGTAATAGTCTGAAGAGTGAATGGTGAAAAGAGATTTTGCAGATAGCTGCAGCTTTGATCGCTATAGAGGTTTTAGTGAGCGTAGGTGCGAGTTGGGAGATGAGAAATTCGGCGCGTCGCACCACGGCACGTCGCGTCGCACGGTGGATCGAATCAATTAGAGAGGTAGGACATGAAATTTTAGACGAAAAGTACAAATTTTGATGTTTATTTCTTCTCATTTTAAACTTCAAGGGGTGTTTTTAGTTGAAAAGGACTCTATGCATAGACCCCCCCCCCCCAAATGTCCCGTTTCTAAATTTAACGAAATTCATACCAGTGATAGAGGGACACTTCCGGCCTCCGGATCCATGGTCGGTTTAGTCCCCAGCCCCCCGAGTGCGACGTTGCCATTTTTTAAAGTCGAAACACGTTCACCCCCATAACTTTTAAACAGTTAAAGATATGAAAATGCGGTTTGTTTGAGTAGATAATACATTAAAAGAGCTATCATCCCATATAAAGTTTTTATCCATTGTTGCCAAATTTACTCAAAAATCACCATTTTCAATTTTTTCAGGGGCCAAAAATACGGTTAACCTTAAAAAGTCGCTATTGGGCACGCACGTAGGAAAACAAGAAACACGCGTAATACAAGCCCTTTATGTAAGCTTTCCAACGGTGTATCGGTTTTTCCAGGGAAACAATTCTATCGCGAGATAAAGGCCTTCAAAGTCTACCTTGGCGTGATTTTTGAAATCCCGCATCATTCGGACCTCAAAAAACTAGGATTGCGCCAGGAAAAGGAAAACTACAAGTAATGGAGGCCCATTTGTATGAGCTTTCTAACTGTAAATCGGTTTTTCCGGAAAAATTATTCTATCGCGAGATACAGGCCATCAAAGTCCGACTCGGCGTAATTTTTGAGGTCCCGCGTCATTCGCACCTCAAAAAATCAGTATTGCGCACGCACGTAGGAAAATGAAAACCACAGGTAATTAAAGCCCTTTGTAGGAGCTTTCTAACGGTGTATCGATTTTTCCGGGGAAACGCCCTGGTAAAACTGATCCCCTAAAAATATAGGTGACATCGCCTCACTAACTTTGGTGAGGCGATTTTTGGAACAGGCGATGTCACCTAAAATTATAGGTGATGTTACCCAAAACTACGTGTAGGGGATGTCACCTAGCCTTGTGGGGCCGTGAAAAAAAAAAACCCCAAAATTGGTTATGTATGGGGATTATTTCAAAAACTGTGAAAAATGGCGTCCATGTGACACTGTTAGGCACTTTCGTTGGAATTTTGATCTGGAATTTTTTGCCTGCTCCGGGGTTTGAACCTGGGACCTTCCGAACACTGAACGAAGACCTTACGTACCAAGCTATGCCGGCCGCCTGAAAACAGTGACGAAAAACCTGCATTTAGCTTCGAATTAAACGTGCACTGTGCAGCCAGGATATCTCGACCAGTTTTTATTGATTTGTTCGTTTTTTACTTTAATTCATTTCAGTTTATTACTTTACTTCATTTTATTTTTTACCTATTTTTTCATTTTTAACTTTATTTCATTTTATATTCTTTTTTATTCATTTTACTCTACTCTATTATTTCACTCTATTTTATTATATTCCCCATTTTATTTTTTTACGATATTTTATTTTTTTAATTTACTTTATTTTTTAATTTTTTATTTTTTCACGCTGTGTTATTTTACTTTTTTTCTCTATTTTATTTTATTTTATTTACCATGTTTCATTTCCAGACTGCATTTTATTTCTCACTTTATTTTGTTTTTTCACTTTTTTCATTTTCTAACGTCCGCTTCTAACGTATATTTTTTTGACGACATTTCATGTCTTCAATCTATTTTATTTTTACTTCATTCTTGTTTTCATTTTACTTAATGTTCTAAATTTCCTTTTTTTACATATATTTATTCTTATAGTTTTTTCCACTGTAGATATAAAAATGTTTAGCACAAAGCAAATGTTCTATTATCTACCCATGAAATTATCCAATAATTAGCTAGTTAATATTTAATTTTTCCTTACTTAATCCTGAAACTCAAATGTGACCTGTGTGATGTCATCTAGCTTCCAGGTGATGTCATCTACCCTCCAGGCTATGTCACCTACCTTCTAGGTGACCTCACCTATCTTCTAGGTGATGTCACCTACCGTCTAGGCGATGCCACCTACCCTCTAGGTGACATCTCCTACCTTCTAGGTGATATCACCTACCTCTTAGGTGATGTCACCTACCTTCTAGGTGATGTCACCTACCTTTTAGGCGATGTCACCTATTTTTTTGGCGATGTCACCTATTTTTTAGGTGATTAGTTTTACCAGGGCGATTCTTTCGCGAGATACATGCCTTCAAAGTTCACTGTAGCGGGTTTGAGATGCAGATATGCAGAGAGAGATTCAGATATGCAGATGCAGAGAAAGATTCAGATATGCAGGTATGCAGAGAGACATGCAAATGTAGACACACTCCTGACACACACTGTCGAATGCATATTACCGCATTTTAAACTAATATTTGACACACAACTTCAATTGAATCCTAGAGACAATGGACCCATTTGCACGGATCATGTCTTCCCCATCCCCGAGAAAGCGACTTTTTCCTTACACCCTTTATACGTTCTAAGTGTTTCCATCCAAGTTGAGTGTTTAACACCGCCAATTTTTCCGAGGCAAGGAATCGATCACGAGATCGAAAATTGTCTAATTGTTTAATGTATGATTTAATGTGACCTCGGAAGTGCACTATCACAATGGGCGAAAAAACAAGTCGCGCAAGGTACTTAAAAAAACCCGCAACAGTGAACTTTGAAGGCATGTATCTCTCGAAAGAATCCTTTCCCCGAAAAAATCGATATGTTAGCGGCAAAACCCGATTCCAGGCAAACTAGTTTTGCCTAGGCAAATCTAGTTCTGCCAAGGCAAATCTAGTTCTGCCAGAAATGAACCGGCAAAACTAGATTTGCCTAGTCAAAACCTGTTTTGCCTGATATGCGTAGGCAAAACTAACCGACCATAGGCGGAACTAGTTTTGCCTGCTGATGTTCAGGCAAAACTGATGAGGTCCGGCAAAACTAGTTCCGCCAACAAAGAGGCGTTGTGTCCAACCCCATAGTGTACTCTCAGAAACTCTCAGATGAATAGTAGGTGCCAGGTGGACCTGATTGACTACCAATCACAAGCAGATGGTCAATTTAAATTAGTGTTAAACTACCGGGACCACCTGACTAAGTTGTGTGTTTTGAAGCCTTTAGAATCTAAAAAAGCAGCCACGGTTGGTCCGGTGTTATTAGATATTTTTTTAACTTTTGGGGCCCCTTGTATTTTACCCTCAGATAATGGACGGGAATTCGTCAACGAACTTGTAACTCAACTTGCTGGATTATGGAAAAAATTGAAGATTGTCCATGGTAAACCTCGAAATTTGCAGTCAGGGCTCAGTGGAGCCTGCGAATAGAGATGTGCAGGACATATTTTAATTTTTAATTTTTAATTATTATTTCTATTTTAAATTTTTTATTTTTTTTTAAGTTTTGGTTTACGTAGTTTTCCTGGTCCGGCAAAACTAGTTATGCCTGGTCGTGTTCAGGCAAAACTGACAGCGCTCCGGCGGAATTAGTTTTGCCTACTTTGCGCAGGCAAAACTAGATTCCTCGAAAAAATACATTTTTGCCTAGGCAAAACTAGTTTTGCCTGGAATCGGGTTTTGCCGCTGACAGATACACCGTTAGAAAGCTCCTATAAAGGGCTTTAATTACCTGTGGTTTTCATTTTCCTACGTGCGTGCGCAATACTGATTTTCTGAGGTGCGAATGACGCGGGATCTCAAAAATTACGCCGAGTCGGACTTTGATGGCCTGTATCTCGTGATAGAATAATTTTTCCGGAAAAACCGATTTACAGTTGGAAAGCTCATACAAATGGGCTTTCATTACTTGTAGTTTTCCTTTTCCTGGCAGCGTGCGCAATCCTAGTTTTTTGAGGTCCGAATGATGCGGGATTTCAAAAATCACGCCAAGTTAGACTTTGAAGGCCTATATCTCGCGATAGAATTGTTTCCCTGGAAAAACCGATACACCGTTGGAAAGCTTACATAAAGGGCTTGTATTACGCGTGTTTCTTGTTTTCCTACGTGCGTGCCCAATAGCGACTTTTTAAGGTTAACCGTATTTTTGGCCCCTGAAAAAATTGAAAATGGTGATTTTTGAGTAAATTTGGCAACAATGGATAAAAACTTTATATGGGATGATAGCTCTTTTAATGTATTATCTACTCAAACAAACCGCATTTTCATATCTTTAACTGTTTAAAAGTTATGGGGGTGAACGTGTTTCGACTTTAAAAAATGGCAACGTCGCACTCGGGGGGCTGGGGACTAAACCGACCATGGATCCGGAGGCCGGAAGTGTCCCTCTATCACTGGTATGAATTTCGNGGGGGGGGGGGGGTCTATGCATAGAGTCCTTTCACGAGGAAACCAATGAGCCCACTTTTAGAACCTCAAAGTTTTGTATAAACGGAGTTATAAGCGTTTAAAGTTTCCAAATTTTGTCCGACATTAACCATTGGCTTGATCCACCGTGCGTTGCTCTGATACAACTCTTTCAGCGATGACATTTCATCTCATTTTTGGCCTAAGCTAAGGAACATGAGCACGATATGGAATCAGGGAACCTTTTAAAACAATGACTTTTCCACTTGATGGACATGTCATGGGTCAAGAGACCGGGCATTTAGTCGGTGATTTACCTTCGAAAAAAGCTTGATGTTTACTATTAATCATGAAGATCTATGCAATGCTTTATTTGCAAAAAATAACGTGGTGAAGTTTATTGAAAGCAAACACAAGAATTTAAATTACAAACATTAAAAGTTTGGTATTGCAGAAGTGAATAAACGATTTGTTCCCCACTTTAAAAGCAAATGGAAGGAAGTGCATCGAATAATTAAAGTCTTTTAGTTAAAATTTAAAAAGTGGCTCACTTCCAATGGCTATGCAATTCATGGTTTTAAACAATTGTAGTATGACAATGAGTTACTTGTTCTCCTTCCTATACACATTTTTAATAGTATTAGTCAGGACTGTTTCGACATCATTTACTTATTGCAGTCCATTTCATGTACGAGTTGCTCAAAAAGTTGGTGTTTACAACTTTAAAAATGATTTCCGATAATCAAGTGATCATACCGAACTACTACTTGCCGTGTGTTAAGCATTTCAACATTTTGGAATTATTGCCGCAAAAGCGTGACTACCCGCCAGTGTGGATCGTATATTTTGCTGATCTAATTAAAAATAATCAAATAATCTAAACAAATTCTGGGACTAGCGCAAAAGACCCATTGGCATTTCAGGATGGGCATCGACCTGTAGGATTTGAAACTCGGGGGAAACCAGGGAATTTGATCACTGTCTGGAAAACCGGGAAAGATAGGGTATTTTTGAGATTCGAACATTTCGCTGCTCTCTCCGCTTGTCACTGCCGAATCTGCCGACACTTGCATGACTGACAGTGGAATCTATTGAATCAAGTCTCTTTCAAAAATAAAGAAAGAAAAAAAAATGCTCCAATCAAGTAGATGTTACTGGAAGTGAAGAAGAGACTCGTATTTCCTCTTGATAACAGCAAAATCTGCCTGAGGTTGGCACACTCGTTAAGAAAAAGAGGCTCGTGCTTCCAGGGTACTGTTATGCTAGTATGTATTAATGAAGTTACCACAGTGAACTAGTTTGAAAGTTAAAAAGTATACAGGCCATTATACAGGGTGTTCTAAAAGTCCACCCCCCCCTCTAACTTTTGAACGGTTTGAGGTAGAAAAATGAAACTTTGGGAATGTTCAAATCTCAAAGGGGACCATCTTTTTTTTTGGGGGGGGGGGGTCAAAATTTTGTTCTTCCTAAGGGGGGCGGGGGCCCCCAACTTTTTTTTTCAAATGGCAACCTCTATCTTGTGATACCTCATTCAAAAAAGCATCAAAAACTAAGAATTTTGCCGCAAACCGCGGATCAATAACTTAATTCTAGACCGAATTATGATAGGTTGAAGGTCAAATTTGACCTATTTTCAAAAAATCATAACTCCGGTTCAAATAATCGTAAAGAAAAAAATAAAACGGGAAAATTTACCAACTTGTGTTCGCTTTGAAGTAAAAATTGCAGAAATCACTTCGAACTAATTTTAAGGGGGGGTTCGGACCCCCAAATACGTCAATTCAAAGGTCATTCAATTTTCCCGCGAAATAAACCAATTTCCCCTAGATTTGCCTCCACATTATCTCAGTAGGGTCAAAATCAGTTCAACATTACGCTGGCAAGTCCCCAAACGGGAAAAGTTAAAAAAAAAAGATTTTAACAGTCAAATTTAATCACTGTAAATTTGGTTTTTTTAACTTTCCCCGAAATTTGGGGACTTGCCAATGTAATGTTGAACTGATTTTGACCCTACTGAGATAATGTGGAGGCAAATCTAGGGGAAATTGGTTTATTTCGCGGGAAAATTGAATGACCTTTGAATTGACGTATTTGGGGGTCCGAACCCCCCCTTAAAATTAGTTCGAAGTGATTTCTGCAATTTTTACTTCAAAGCGAACACAAGTTGGTAAATTTTCCCGTTTTATTTTTTTCTTTACGATTATTTGAACCGGAGTTATGATTTTTTGAAAATAGGTCAAATTTGACCTTCAACCTATCATAACTCGGTCAAAAATTAAGATATTGATCTGCAGTTTGCGCCAAAATTCTTAATTTTTTATGGACTTTCGAAAGAGGTATCACAAAATAGGGGTTGCCATTTGAAGAAAAAAGTTGGGAGCTCCCCTTCTCTGAGGGGGAACAAAATCATGAACCCCCCCCCCAAAAAAAAGATGGTCCCCTTTGAGATTTGAACATTCCCAAAGTTTCATTTTTCTATCTCGAACCGTTCAAAAGTTAGGGGGGGGGGGGGACTGGACTTTTGGAACAACTTGTATTTCAAAGATAGTGTGGGGGATCTTAAAAGTTAAATTTTGAAGTTGAATTTTGCTCTTTTGAAACTAGCTTTTTGGATCTAGTTTCTGTCTAAAGTTTCACTGAACTCCTTCATGCCGTTTCTTCTAAAGCCATAGTAACTGAGCATATGACTTTACAGGGACTTCAGGGACTCTCACTCCTAAGGAGAGTTTTTTAATTTTTTCGGATTTGCTCGTCGTACATCTGACGCCCGATAAGTTAGGGAATTTCATCGTTTTTGTCAGGGGAAACTTGGAAATGTCAGATACCAGCATTTTGAAAATCTTGCAGATATCTTAATTGGTTAAGAACCCAAACAAAAATGAAATAGAAAAAAAAAACGATAAAATATTGGTGGTAAATCTTTTTTTTTATACAGGCTCACCTCAAAATTTTTAGGGCAGTTACTCCGACCTCTTATTAATTTTGCCTCATTCAAGGTTAAAACAGAAGTTTTTGTATGAGCTATGCTGATATATTGGTCAAGTGGATTGAAAGAAATAGGAAAAATTCTATAAATCCTCAAAATTTGGGAATAAACAGGGACCTTCCACATATGTACAGCTATATGTATACCACAAACTGCCTTTTTAATTTTTTTCTCTAACAAGTTTTGATAATGAAAGACAACTCAAATATCGTTTCTTAAGGTAAATGACCGGTTTTTTTTTTGAAAGCTCTCCGATAGCTTGCAACCTCTCTGGCTTAGCCTGTGACCATAACAAACGGAAGTGAACATGATGACAGAATGCTGTTGAGTCCTCACTATTCTAAGGGGAAAGGGAAGGGAGAAACGACAAAAATTCAAAGTCCAGTCTCTAAATGAACTCTGGTAAATTTTTGTGCGAGACTAAGGGGAGGGGCATGAGAATACTTAGAGGAGGTCCTCATGGGAGATCTGTAGCGGTCTTACTCTCTTTTGAGCTCATCCTCAAGTCACATTATTTTTCATTCAGAGAGTCCAATTATTTATTCTGCAACATCATAGACAACGTTAAAATGCAGTCATGGATACGCCGCAGTAGCTTGATAGAAAACCAAAGTTCAGTTGTTGCGCAATCTGCCATCACTGCTGAATGACTCGCAAGACAACAAGGAAAACATAAAAAAAATTGATTATTTGACAGTCAGAAATGAGGACGCATCTAGACACACCTGCCTGCTTCCGAACGGGAAAAAAGTTCGGGAGTCGGGACTTAATTTAATGGGAACTTAAGTGTTCTTCTTTGTTACTAAACTTCTTACGGTTGCTCTCTAATCTAGGTTTTCCAAACATCAGCACCGTCGGCCAGACCATCGATAAAACTCCCAAGTCTGCACCTCCAACGGAAGACAGATATGCTGCTTTGAAAGACCTAGACTCTCTGATGAAAACTCAACAAATGACGTCATCCACTCCAAAATCTGAACCTCTAGCATCAATCGGTGAGTGGGGTAAGTATATCAACCTGCCACAAAGTTCAAGATTGGGGAGTAATTGATTAAAAGGAGTGTCAGTGGTGAGATTGGTTCCCTTATCCAACTTTAAGGCAGCTTACACTGAGCACGATCTTAAAGTTCAAAATCATTCATCTTTTTCAAGTGAGAATATAGTTTCAGTTATAGTTATCATTAGAATCGGTAAATTTGGCTGAATTGCACGTGTGTTCGAACGGTGTTTGATACCTCCCTTTTCTGGCTGGGAAACAGCTGTCAGCCAGCCATGAATCCTGCCATTGCTACCAACTTAACTTGCTCAATTTCCTGGCAGCCAGGTGTATTTTGGGTGGTATGTTCACTGATCTCTTTTCATACCCGTGAGAGGAATGGTCAAGCCTGCCTCGTCTGGTTGTGATATCTCGCCAGGAGAACCACCAGTCCCTGTAACGGGGAAGTCAGGGTCCAAACCCACTTCGACATCGTTGACCATCGAGCATGCCTCACTTTCACGTGTGCTGGCTGCTTTACCAGCATTGCTGGTGGCCTTCTCGATCACCCTGTCAGTTGCTTGTGGCTGTCAGGGGGTGGGAGCAGTAATTGCCCGAGTTCGGCTTTCTCCCCGCTTTTGAAGCAAAAAAAAATCTGGACTTGAATTTCAACATGTCGCCCACAGGCCACCTTTTCACGTATATTCAATCAGTGGGTCATTTGATTTGTTTGTTTGTCCTTGGTTTGCTTGGTTTATGTCTGTGTGTGTGTGTATGATTTTCCCTCTCGTTTTGTCTCATAAAATGTGTTCTGTTCAATTGAGACTTTAGTTGGGTTTTGAAAAAAATTTTCTAGACAAATATGTACATTTAAGTGCCTCAGGAATTTGGTTTGTCAGCAAAATCAGTGCTGTGTGAAGGCGAGATGAATAAAGGTGGGAAGTATGATCTCAGCGATGGCATTATTTGGAGGTGTAACCAGTACAAAACATCTAAGTCTTATAGAAAAGGAACACGGTTCTCCAATTTTTTAGGAAATTACGAAAATTAGGATCTTGACTTGTATTTTGTGCCCCTGTTATACTTCAAAGCAAGTTTGTCACGAGCTTTGAACTCCCAAGCACACTTCTAGAAACAACTTCAATTTTCGTCGCAAGGTATTAACTCATTTTATACGAAAATACAAGAGCCAGCCAATTGGTGTTGTTGGCCAGGTCTTCCAGTCCGACAAAAGCATTTTTGCCAAGAGGAAATACAATCAGGAAGTTCAGAAAAAGATGCAGCAGTGGGTGTAGACACAGCAGGCGATACGAAGAGGGATGAGGTGAACTGTTTCTTTTTGAAGGTATACAAATGGAATGCTAAAACCTTGATAACGCATATCAAGAAGTTTATCAAGTTGGGATCCATCATCCATTCCGACTGCTGGAAATCTGCCAAGAAGAGCTCCAGGAAGATCTAAGGCTACAAAACTGTGAATCATACCCATACTTTTGTAGATGGCAATGTGTATGCTAATAAAATTGAAGGTTTATGGAAACGTGTTCAGCATGCTCTGAGTGTAATAAGGGAATAATGCTTTGATCTGTAATTAGCTTGAATTATGCCAAGTTGAATTATCCAGCAATGTTAATTTCATCTTTTCAACTTTTCTGAAGGATGGGGCAATAGTTTACAATCTTGAACAAGTTAATTAAATTTTATTTATTCCTGAGAACTTTTCTCCAAAAAATCAATATAATCCAAACATTCTTCTCAAAATTTGCTCCTAAGAAATGCTCCAATTTTTCCCTTAATTTTTCCAAATCTTCTAACAATTTCTGGATTCTCCTAAATTTTCCAAAAATTCCTCTGAAATCTTCCCAGTCATCTCTAACTTTTTTTTGAGATATTTTGTTTCAATGAATTTTAAACATTCTAGTGGAGAAGCATTCTCAGAAAGTTAGTCAAATTATGTGTAAGGTTAATAGCTAACGTTTGGTTCTACAAGGTTCTCTTCCTTCTTCAATAAAAATATTTCCAATTTCATGAAGAAAAATTTAATAACTAAAAGAAAATATTATTTAAACCCAGACTAATTGATCCTAACGTAGTGCTTAATTTGACTCAAGTAGACTTCGTTTTTCACCAAGCAGGGAGGTTGAATTGACAAATACTGAAACTGCTAATGTCTCTCTTGCAGGTCAAATTTGAAACTTCTTTATGTGATCACCATGTTCTACATGAAATTTTGATGAGGCAACATTTACTTCTAACACTTTGTGAGAGTCAATAGGCCATTAGACTAAGTACGAATTTTTAAAATTCAAGCATTCTGTTGTTTTCCTCTTTAAGGTTTCTTGTAGAGCTTGATTTGCGATTTGAATCGGAGTCAAAACTACTCTAATGGGTACCAGTACAATACTGAGAGGGGAGAGTGTTCAGCTTTAGCCTTGTTTCCCACTGTTTTTATTGTGTTTTCGCAGTATATTTGTATATATATTTATATATTTATAACTTGGAGCTAACATACCTTTGCGACCGTTTTTTTCCGGAACCATCAGAACAATCAAAATGAAACTAGGCATGGCTCTTCACTACTATGTGGTCTACATCAAGTTTCATTTTTGGTGAAAATCGGCCCATCCCTAACTCAGTAACGTCAAGGTCACTGGGGGGTGATTTTTAGAACTTGTCCTATCTTAGTCGGTGATACCTCAAAACACTGGTCTCATCGTGCCCTTCAAAACAACCTATATTTACCCAACTGCTAAAACCACCCCTTATCCTGCAAATCTCAAGTCCAAGGGGGATAATTTACTCGACCCGTTAAGCTCATCAGGCACAACTTTTTCGTAGAAACAATTAGTCAAAATCTACCTTTTTGCTTCCACTGTGGCTGGAAAGCATTTTTTAATTTAGCATTAGGCAAGGAAAGTTTACAGAACCTCCTTAAAAAAGGGGCCTTTTTTGGCTCCTTTTCGGGAAACCGAGGATTTCATTCGCTTGTGGCCTTAATGAACCCTTAGAATGAGGCAAGCCTCCGGTGAAAATATTAGCTCGAGTGTACAACTTGTTTCGGAGGTACAGCATTGCAAAGTTGGCATATTTGATCTTTAAAATTCTCATATTTTCAAGTATCATATATGTTCTCAACAACTTCATCGGGTATTTTATGATATTTTGTGAAATTTTATCAATATTTAGTGACATTATTGAATGCATATTTCTTTTGATAGGGTAATACTGCTAATTCTATTGATACAAAGTTGCAAAGTTGACGTCATAGACCTATAAAAAATTCTCCTTTTGTCGAGGTTCTTCATTAAAAAACGAACCTTGTGGCCACCAAAAGATTTGTTTACAGGATTCAGATGCAATTTTATGATAAGATTAGTCTTCCAAAAAAGTTTTACCCCGAGTGTAATTATAGTTTCAATGATACAGCGTTGCAAAGGTTATATTTTTGAGCTTCAATAATGTTTATATGTTTGGAATGGTTAAAAAGGGACATCTGTGGATATTCTCTTACAATTTGAGGTATAAAATCACCCATTAATGTTATTTGTAGATGTATGCTTATATTCGAACAGGAATACTTTGACTGGTGGTGATGCAGCGTTGCCAAGCTTACAACTTTGAATTCTACGAATTATGGTTTTCTTTTTTATTAGTGTCTACATTGAGACTTATTTCTATTGAAAAAAACTCAAAAGTTTCCATATTCTATGTTCGTTTTTTCATTCTACCTAAAAAATGGTTAAATTGGCTACTAAGTTGAGGCAGAATTTTTGTATTTTGAAAGCAAGGCGGATGCTAAGTCATGTATTGTATTCCATAATTCACTTGGATCACATTGTAAAATCAGATAGTTAATGGAAAAATCCATATTTAAACTTCTTTTATAGTCAAATGTCAAAAGAAAAATGAATAAAATTGGCAACAGTGTCATTTTTAATACCAATGGGCCTTTTGCAAACTTTTGCTAGAGCACAAAGAAGAGTTGTTACTATTAGAATGTGTCTCAAAAATCAAGATGAGCGCATCAGCAAAGTCTGAAATGTACTCCTTACTTCACAATTTGCACAAGAAATTTGCGTTTTCCCAGCTTTCCGCCTCAAAAACGATACCACGGCACAAGTGAACATTTCGTTTCAGGAGGAGTCATTCCATCCAACCCCTGCTCACAAAGATATTTCGCAATATTCAACGTAACCGTCGCCAATCCGCCAAAACACATGTGACGGGAAGATGATTCTAACCACCTGATAACAATCTGCGTGTTTACATCCACATTTTTCTGGCGTTGATAAATATCGGCCTTGATTGACCCTGTGCTCTCTTCAACTTGGGCGCGGAAGCGTCGGCCATGTTGAACAGGGATTGAATGGAACGGCTCCTCGAGTTAAAATAAGAACGAACGAAATGTTTACCTGTGCTGAAGTATCCTTTTTGAAGGGGGAAGCTTAAAAAAACGCAAATTTCTTGTACAGATTGTGAAGTTAGGAGAGCATTTCATAGTTTGCCGATGCGCTCATCGTGATTTTTGAGACATTATCTATAAGGAACACCTCTTATTTTTGCTGTAGCGAAAGTTTGCATTGTCACCTAGGATCGATAGAAGCCCTCCACATTTTGCTTCTAATATTAACTATCGATATTTTCTCCACCATTTCTCCAGTAAAATTACGATATAAAAATAGACGTTATCATAGATTAAAGATATGTTCTTTGTATCGCTGTACTATCGAATCCTGTTAGATATTATAGTTGTATCCATGAGTATAACCAATTGTTGATTATATGCTCCAAAATACAGTTAGACCTTCACTAAAATCAGGTGGGAAATGAGAAACTTATAAGAAATGCGTATTTTTAAAGCTAAAAAATGTAAATTTTACAACATTGTACTGCGAAAAGAAGGCTTATCCATGAGTCAAAACTTTAAATGGAGACTTTTTCCATCATAATTAGTTATTTATGCTTTGTGTAAGAATTGTAAAGTCTACCTGAAAGTTGGTTTTTAAAAAGAATTCCATAAAAATGTGAAGATTTTTAAGACTCAATTATACAAACTTTGCAACGCTGTATCTCGGAAATCAGACAGATACTTAAGCTAAACTTTTTACTGGAGGCTTGTCTTATCATATGGTTTCATACAGGGTTATCCAAATGTCACTGACCACCCCTGTAACTTTTTACCAAATTGAGATAGAAGTTTGAAACTTTGGGAATGTTCCTCGGTCTAAAGTAGTAACTTTTTGGTCCCCCCAAAATTTTGGGGGGCGGCCCCCCTCAAGGGGGGCGGGGGCTAACTTTTTTTTTCCAATGGCAATCCCCCCTTTGTGATACCTCATTCGGAAGATAATATAAAAAGAAAATTTTTGGCGCAAACCGCAGGTCAAAATGTTCATTTTTGACAAAATGGTCAAAGTTCCGGGTCAAAGGCCGGTCAAAGTTCAAAATGGCGGAAATTTGGCATCTCTGATGTTTATAGACGGGTTGGTGTGAAACTCGGAATCCTAGTGTTTTTCGAGATGAGAAAAACGATTCTGGCATTGGTTTTCCAGAAAAGTCAGTCCTTTTCAAAATGGCGGCGGTCAAAATGGCGGCCTCGAGCGGGAAGTGGATATTTGGGCTGCATATCGTTGGATTTGCATGAAACTTGGTATCTGGGGGTATTTCGGCACGAGAAAAACAAATCTTTCATTGGATATCTGAAATTTTGACAATTTCCAAAATGGCGGCGGAAAAATTGCGGGAAATCAGTTTTACGGCTCTTTACCGATGGATTTGCATGAAATTCAATATATCCTGGCGGTGTTTGGCTGGATATAAAGGAATCTTTCATTAGATTCTTGAAATATCAAATAATTTCATGCTAATTCATCGGTAAAGAGCCGTAAAACTGATTTCCTGCAATTTTTCCGCCGCCATTTTGGAATTGTCAAAATTTCAGATATCCAATGAAAGATTCGTTCTTTTCGTGCCGAAATACCCCCAGATACCAAGTTTCATGCAAATCCAACGATATGCAGCCCAAATATCCACTTCCCGCTCGAGGCCGCCATTTTGACCGCCGCCATTTTGAAAAGGACTGACTTTTCAGGAAAACCAATGCCAGAATCGTTTTTCTCATCTCGAAAAACACTAGGATTCCGAGTTTCACACCAATCCGTCCATAAACATCAGAGATGCCAAATTTCCGCCATTTTGAACTTTGACCGGCCTTTGACTCGGAACTTTGACCATTTTGTCAAAAATAAACATTTTGACCTGCGGTTTTCGCCAAAAATTTTCTTTTTTTATTATCTTTCGAATGAGGTATCACAAAGGGGGGATTGCCATTTGAAAAAAAAAGTTAGCCCCCGCCCCCTTAAGGGGGGCCGCCCCCCAAAATTTTGGGAGGAACAAAAAGTTGCTACTTTAGACCAAGGAACATTCCCAAAGTTTCAAACTTCTATCTCAATTTGGAAAAAAGTTACAGGGGTGGTCAGTGACTTTTGGATAACCCTGTAAGGGCCACACACGAATGATGTCCCCGGGTTCCGGACAAGGGGCCACTTTTTGGAAGGCTCTTTCCTGCTCATATGAAAAACCAGAATCTACTCGAATCAAATTGCGTACCACAATGGTTTTTACAAGCTTCTCAATACGCAGTGTTTCTGCCCCTCTCAGTGTTGTTCAAAGCGTAGAGAACATGCAATTGCTGAGCCGAAGTGCTGATATTGAGGTTATTATATTTTCATACTGCAGTCACAGTAACATTCAGTATGCAATTCAACTTAAGTAAATTTTGGTTTTTTTTTAAGAGTGGGAAGTTCAAATTTAAGCATCAAACATTGTCAATATCTTTTTTAGAAGTTACTCTGAATGGTTTTTTTTTCGTATAAACCGCTTTACCCATGAATTTTGGTGGAAAAACATACATCATGATGCTTAAATTCGCACCTTGTTTAGTGATCCATTGTCTCTTATTGATTTCTTGATTTTTATGCAAGTGATCACTTACCGGATGCAGGATCAGTCTTAAAGTGCCAGAATTAAACTTAACCTTGACTTTTCTCCCAAATTGCAGGCTTGAACAAAAATACCTCTTGGTACTCCTCGTCTGGTTTTGTCTCATCCTGTACTGAACCAGAGTCAACTTCATCCATGCCCTGTAATCCTTTTAACAGTAAGTACTTCACAGTATTTCAAGAGGTGTTCTGTCAAACTTCTCATGGTTTTGATACAGACTAAGAGCCGTCAATCTAAATGCACAAGCAAGCGTTATCCATGGTGATTCTTGGCTTTCATCTTGAGAATGAAAAAGTAGGAATGAAGCGAACATGCACTTCCACACAGTTGATGTCTTGAATTAAAGCATGTTCATTAATTACAGTGGCAGCTAGTATTGTATTATCACATGAGCAAAGAAAGTATTTTGTTTCTCCAACCAGGTGAAGTGATGAATTTGTTTTTGTGATCTGGTAGACTTGGCGTAGTGATAGTTAAATTCCTGTGACTTATAATCAGTAGAGTGAGAAATCCTACAACAGGCTGCTGAAAAAGCACATTCTTACTGCTTGGGGCTGGGCAGGAATGGCCTTGACTGTGATTGGCCACAATCTACAATGTCAAAATGACTCACTCTGAAGTGCATGTGTATGAGAAGCTTAAACGCGGGTACATATTTTGACGAAAATGAAAGTGTCTTCATGAATCTCAGTATTTCTGTAATTACATCTCTGTATTATTCACAAAAACCATTCAGGTGTCCCGAAGTTTCATATGTATGTGGGATTGATTTTCGAGAGTTTGAAGTTTTACTCAAACAAGATGATGCTATACGCTTAAATATCAATTGCCAAAGTACAAGACCCTCTATTTCCGTTCGTGACGTTGCAAACTTCATGTTCTTTACATTTTATTTAGAAAACTATTCAACGAAATATCTTGAAAACTTTTGAAATTTCCTCTCTATTAGCATTAGCAGAATATTCTGTGTAAATTTCAAGCTATGGAGTTGGCTTGTTTTCCAGTATAGGTAAAGCATTCAAGCTGGACTTCTGAAAATACTCTAGAATTCATTACCGAAAAGGAGATTGAGCTGTATAAAGTTCATAAAGTTTGATCTGGAGGTAAATGTACTTCCTCTTCCGGCGATGCAGCCTTTAGTAATTGATGTGAAAAGAGACCTCTTCAGAGTTAACTTTCCTACTAATGAAACAATGATTCACAATATTTTGTACTGATTTTTTAGCAAGGTTGATTACCGCGGTTGTTTTACCTGTTGGCACCATGTTCGTTACAAATGTCATCGAATTCATCAGTGTGGTACTGATGAATACCTCTGTCCATAAAAAAATATAGTTCACACCTGGGCCCCTACATTAGTGGAAAATATCATCAGAATCGTGCACTTCTGGAAGAAAGCATGAAAATTTCAGGGATTTATCTCTACCCTATAGACATTCGATTTAGACGTAGACCCCAAAAATCTGAGTCCTCTGGGGGGGAGGGGCAGGGGTGTCCCCGAATTTTGGATTTTGAATAACTACTGAACGGCTAATGTTAGCATAATTTTTTTACAGCAGGACGATGGGAAATTTTATTTGGAGCAAAAATGGTTCTGATAACTTTTTCTGTGGGATTGATATTTAAGGCGTGAAACGGGAAAAACCATCGGGGGACGGGGAGCCGGCCGTTCTGAGGCAGATCCGCGCGCTGCGCTGCCTGCCTGGGACGCGCGCGGCGGCGCAGTACGGTGTTACCGACGAAACAGCCGCTTGTCTTGGTTTAATCTCAACGATGCGCAGTTTTAAGAATAATTCACCGTACTGCCTAAATAGTTTTCCACAGTAATATAAGCCCTACTTTTTATAAGTAATACATAAAAACAAAAACAAGCAAAAGGCAAAATACTCCAATGTGAGAGCGCCGAGTCAATAGGAGGGGCCGGTCATCGCGCATCACGCGTCTTGTTTTCTCTGAATACAGAGCTTTTCCGACCTCAGTACAGAGTAAATTACCCTTTCCTCGCGTAATTTTTGTAAAGGATTACATTTTTTAAGATATTAGAGCAAAATAACAAGTTTTAATACGATTTTGACCAATTTTTTTATGACTAATGGAAATGGGATCCTTGATAACTTATCTTTAGCTTATTTTTTATGTTTCTTTCGGTGAATGGGACCATGAGCTGCTTACGTGAGCAAGAATTTTACAAAACTTGACGCAAAGATATTATCTGAAGTGTGAGGAAAAGAAAAAGGGGGCTTCACAGTCCCTTCGCCACAAAGGTTACCAGATTTCCTTCATTTTCCTCTAATATCGTTTTTCGTTCATGTTAGGTAATTGGTTTCTTGCAATTGCATAGATACTGATACATACGGAACATTCCGACAATGTACTTCTCTCCTCTTTTTTCCTCCAGCCAGCGAATAGACGTTTTCATTTGCATGAACTCCCCACTCTTTCAGTTATTCAACAATTATGCATATTTAAAAAAATAGAACAATATATTAAATGAATAATAAAAAAGAAGATATCTGAATACTACTGCTTCTCTTTACTGAGTCACTCTTGAAGATTATTATTGGTATTTACCACAAGACAAAAATGGAATGAGCAGTAAAAAACATCCATGTATATTATCTTTCATTTTGTTCTATGGAGTTTGGAGTGGAGTTGGTAACATTTTTATTGAAAAAAATAAAAATATAGGAGGAAACTTATTTATCATGCAGGTTCTGATCCTTTAAAGAACCTCTGAGAAGGACCAGTACCTCAGGAAGAAATTCATTGCATTTCTTCTTTTTCAACCTGCAAATCTTGTACCAATTTTTTATTTGTATGGAGCTCATAGAAGAGTTCTAGGTATGTCGGAGACAATTTTCAAGAAACGGGACATGCCCAATATGCAATGCACAAGACGTACACCTTAAACTTTATTGTACAGTTTAACAGTGATCGAATTAGCTTCAGAGATTATCAGAAGGTTAATTTCTCGTCGAAATATCAACAAATCAGTCGAAATCAGTAATCAGTTGCAAAATTACCGAGATTGAGGGATATCGTGTGATGCGCGATTTTATTGATGACATAAGAGCAGGATAGGTTCCCAGTATAGGCGCCTCTTCTTATCACTCAAATGGACCGTTTTTGTAGATTAGCGGATATTGGCGGCTAATTATTACTTAATAATATTCCTTAGACTGTACAAGAAGCAGTCAATCAAAGGTTTTTTGAGGGTCTTTTACCCTATCAAGCTGTCTCAAGATTCTTTTGGCGTTTTTTTGGAGCAAGTTTTGAAGGTGGTTTTGATCCTCTTAAGAAAATGCCTGTGCGTAGCAATGATGTGCCAAAATGTTCCTCAAAGAGAGGAGAATAAGCATGTTTTTATGTATACTCATTTTTTTACAAAATTTTGTTCCCTTTGTTAAATGTCTGGCTGGAAGCTGTCTCCTGGGAACTTTAGGGTATGTGAGCACATTCAGATACCATCCTGGTGACGCAACACCGAGAACAAGAGAAAAAAAAAACACTTTAAAATCATTTTTCAGGTCATCGCGGTATACAAAGAAGAATTGTGACTTTTAGCCCCCCCCCCCTTCCTGAGACAACTGTGCCTCAAATTTCATTCCGTTCAACTGATGTCTGATACGGTTATCTCGGATACTTTAATAAAACTTGACAAACCCATACAACAAAACAATCTGGAACTCCAGCACTTACCCCTTCTCCTTCTGTGGCCGTGCGCTCGCTTGTATACATATACTAGCCGTTCTGGGCGCGCTTCGCGCGCCCGGCACGTCTAGCCAGGGGGCTGCGCCCCTTGGACCCCCGGTCACTCGCTACGCGATTGACATTCAGCTCGCTTTGCGAGCCAATTTTGTGGTGGTTGCGAATTTTTTATCACTTTATTATGAAGATTTCACAGAAAACATTATTAAATTTTCACTTCACAATTAACTTGTAGAATAATAATGACGCGGCAAGAGATAGACTGTATCTTGAAATGGACGGTTCCCACTTAGCAGAAACAGCCATCACCACGAGAAAGTGAGGAACCATCTTTAGCCACTTTTTTTTTTACTCTTCGGGAAATTTTAGTTGCGCTTCCTTAAATGATAAGTATTAATATAAATTCCCCCTTTTTACAGTGTTGTTAAAATAATAAAAAGTTACCCAGTGGGAAATTTCATTTGTATTCCCGGTGGGCCTGCTACTCAAAATTTGAATAAATTTGCCGTTATTCAATTGAGCTGGGCCTATGAAATCCCACATACCCATTAAATTTACTTTGACAGGTTGGGAGTTCGTCTTATGACGCACAATGTCAAAAAACAAATTAATTGTGTCGCCAGACCACACGTTCTGCAATACGTCATCAATTGAAGCTGGATTCATGCTTATTTTATCAAAAATATCCTCACAGAACAAAGGATAGGAAAAGAAATATTAGAACAGAAAGGAAAAGAAAAGACAGAGAAACGCAGAAGAGATTCAAGAAAAGCACAGTATAACAGAGAAAAAAATAAAGAAAAATAACAAAGAAAACGACTCCACTAGGGTAATCTGAGCTCAGCTGCGTGTGAGCATTAGCAAGATAAAATAATAACACCGAGGAGATTTAAGAAAAACACAGCAGAGACCCAAGGAAAACACAGTAGGTAAATCAGAGAAAAAGTACAGTCAAATAAATAAAGAAAATTACTATTGAAGAAATTCTAATTATTCGGAAAATAATTCGCTGGCGTAATCTATGCGTAGCTGCGTGGGAGCATGAGCGAGATTTATCATCAACTGACCGCTGGCCGCCAGGTACCCTGGTACCTGAGTGGGCGAGCGACAATGCGTAAGCGGTGGCATGGTTCGATTGACAGAGTAGTGGGGAACGGTCAAACGTAGGGGAAAGGTTCAGGCTGAACCGTTCAGCACAGCGCAGCGTCAGTCACCGGGTGGGGAAGAGAGGCGGGGAGGGGACACTTCCCCTCGGGTGAAATAGAAAAAGGTGGAATCGCTGAAAGTCTGAATCCTTCGAAGTTTATATTAATGATTACCTGCAAAAGTTAAGCCCTATTTTAAGGCTTTATAGGTAGTATGATATATTCATAATACTTTTAAAACCATGCATCGTTGAGATTAAACCAAGACAAGCGGCTGTTTCGTCGGTAACACCGTACTGCGCCGCTGCGCGCGTCCCAGGCAGGCAGCGCAGCGCGCGGATCTGCTTCAGAACGGCCGGCTCCCCGTCCCTCGATGGTTTTTCCCGTTTCACGCCTTAAATATCGATCCCACAGAAAAAGTTGTAAGAACTATTTTCGTTCCTAATAAAATTTCCCATCGTCCTGCTGTAAAAAAATTACGCTAACATTAGCCGTTCAGTAGTTATTCAAAATCCAAAATTTGGGGGCTCCCCTGCTCCCAAGGGGGCTCAGATTTTCGGGGTCTACGTCTAAAAATCGAATGTCTATAAGGTAGAGATGAATCCCTGAAATTTTCATGTTCTTCCAGAAGTGCACGATTGTTACGCTCGTCGGCCCCACTACAATGACTAGCGGATTTTGAAGACTTCTAGTTTTTCTTCCACTATTCTTTGGTCAACTTTTGATCTTTTCTTATTTTCCTTTTCCTTTGAAGATCAAAGTGGTAATTTATGGAGTCCTCTGAACAGTTCATGCAACAACTCTTTTATTGGAAATCCATTTAGAGTCAACCGAGCAGGTAAAAATTTACTATTGTATTCCTTTTCACGGATGTACTTATGCGATAGGGAACCAAGTGGTAAATTTTTAATAATTACATTTGGTGAGATTTGCATCCTCCATTGCATGAACAACTATAAGACATCTAAATTTTCCAAAAACCTCATTCTAGCTCAGAAGGACAGTGCCTGGCAGGGTTGCCACAGTCAGAGAAAACCGGGAAATGTCAGGGAATTTTAAAACGTCAGGGAAAACCGGGAAATGTCAGGGAAAATGATGAAAATGACGATAATGTCAGGGAAAAATCGTGAAATAGCTATTCTTTGTTTCTAAGATTGAGTCCGAAATCTCAAACAACTAAGTAATGTTGCGTGTTCAGGTTTGGAAAAGGCGATTTTGCGGACGAATTTACATGTCGCCTTGCTCCCCTCACTCTTTCCCTTTCCTTCAGTGGCGGATCCAAGGAGGGAGGGCCATTTTGGCATGACATACGCCCCCCCCCCCCCGGTCAAAAAAAGAGAAAGAAAAATGGTAAAGGGGGGGATGGGAGAGGGAAAAAAGTGATCCTTGACATTTACTGAAATATTTTAAAGACAGAACTATATAACCTAAGTTTACCAAACCAAAGGTTGCTCAACATTGTAGTAATAAATACTTAGTCCATATACCAGAATAAAATTACACTGAAAGAGGCATTACTCACTAGTCAATTTTTAACTTTCAAATAATGCACAAATTGTATGCTAAAACTGCTTAAAAATGAATCTGGGAGGGCCTATTTTCTTAGAAATTTTCCGGGGAAAGCCCCTGGCCCCCCTTCTTCTGCGGTTGTCCCCCCAGCCTCCCCACTCCGCACCAGGTAATGCCCCCCCTGGATTCACTCTGGATCCGCCTCTGCTTCCCTTCAGTCGCCCCCTTCAAGCCACCTCCTCCTGCGCGGTTTTACCGATGCGTGTGTACCAACTTAACCCTTTACTTACAGGAGTAATGGAAGGGAACCACCTCTCTCTACCTAGCTTCAATAACTCATGCGTTTTTATTCAGTATTGTCCCCCAACCAATCGCTGTCTTTGAATCATTTTCCTACTAACTTTCAGAAGGATGAAACTGTGTGAAGCAATACTAAAATTTGAACTGGGGAAGTGGATTAGTTCATTTTTGCTGTAATTTAGGTGTTCGTGCTTTTGTCTCCATGAGGTTTTATATTAGCAGCAATGCATTGTTTTAGCAGTGTAAAATACAGAGCTTTTCTGGTTTTTAATGTTTTGAAAGTGAAAAATGATTAGCTCAAACTTCCTTTCTTTTCATTCATTTTGCACCAAAGACTCAGTTTTACCTACTATTAGTCCTAAATGGAAGTGGTAACACACCCAGCAAATACTTCACAAATTGCCAAGCATTGCAGGATTTCTACTCTTAGTCTGAGGCAATCAGAGCCTGATGTCAATTTAAACTTTGAGGAGATACAACATGAGAAAGAGGTTGTTCCATCCCCCATTAGATTTGGCCCCCTATCAAATATGATCCATCTTTTCAGGAGTGATACAGTAGCATGCGAGACGTTCAAATATGGCGGTCATTTTGACTTAGGCCCCCCCAGAGAGGGGGGGCGGGGGGTCAAAGACAAAACCCTCAACTGCCTATAACTTTTGAGCGAAAAATCGGATTGAGTTGAACTTTTTTTTAAATGAAAGATCTCAAAAAGATCTATCTGCTGATACCAGAAAAATTGAAAAAAAGTTTAATTTAATGCAAATTTTTAGCAATTTTTCGATTTTTTAGGAGACAAAATTTTCAATTTTGTCGTGTTTCGGCACCGCGCAATGACTCTACTAAAACAAAAACCAGTTTTTTAAATTCTACACTCAATTTCCTATATGATGCAAAAAACCGCATCTTGGGGAAACGTTTAGATCGCGAGCTATGGCTTGTCAAAGGTAGCCCCGCGCTGTTCGCATATCCTCCACGCGTCTGCCACCGATCCTGTTGCCCCTCCTCCCCCATCCTAA